CGTTAACGGCTGTAGTCTTTCCTGCCCGTGTGCGCACGCTAGGAGGAAAAAAAGCAGTCTGGAGACGGCAACCCGCTGATGCGAGTCTGCCGTCCGTCCGTTTTTTCTTAACGGGCAAGAGGTTAAAACTGGACTGTCAGCTGAAAATCTGGGTCTGAACGTGCAAATTGTGGCCGTCAGCAACTAGTCAATGTTAGGGCAGAACGGAGTGTGGCAAGACTGGTACAAGACAACAGAAGGGCAACAGTGCATCAAATTACTGCAGATCTTAATCAGGGATCCTCTCTGACACACTGTTCGCCGTACACTGCATCGTATGGGATATGGAAGCCAAAGGCCTGTTCAAACACCTTTGCTGTCTGCAGTTAACAAGATAAAACGTCTCCAATTTGCACAGGAACACAAGGATTGGACAGTCGAGCATTGCAAAAAAGTTATGTGGTCCGATGAATCACGTTTCCGGTTGCATCATGCAGATGGCAGAGCGAGAATTTGGCGGAAACAGCATGAAAGCATGCACCCCACATGCATGAGTACAACCCTTCAAGCTGGTGGGGGCAGTCTTATGGTTTGGGGCATGTTTTGGGCCCTTTAATTCGTGTGGAACAACGTCTGAATAGCACAACATACCAAAGTATCGTTGTTGATCAAGTTCATCATGTTGATGGCGTATCCCTATGGAAATGGCTTCTTCCAACAAGACAATGCGCCATGCCACGGTGCTCGTATTGTGCATGAGTGGTTTCAAGAACATGAGTGAGAATTTACCTTGCTTAGGTGGCCCCCACAATCGCCAAATCTCAATCCAATTGAGCATTTGTGGGACAAAGTTGAAAGAGCCATCAGGCAGCTGGTTCCACAACCATCAAATCTCACAGAACTGGACAGTGCTATTCATCAGGCATGGTGTCAGATTCCTCGCATCACCTTTCAACATCTCGTGGAGTCAATGCCAAGAAGAATCGCCGCAGTATTGAAGGCAAAAGGTGGCCCAACGAAGTACTGATGG